CAAGCATGCATGTCTATCGATGCGAACGGTAGAGAGTTTGCAACCAGAGGGGAATGTTAGGGTCGAAACCTCTCATTGACATGCGTCTGATGAAACAGTGTGAGACTGCAATTTGCAAGGCTTGCCAGCAGCTTATGGGTCCTGATACAACTGAGCGTCAGCCGCTAGGTAGATATGCTATGCTTATTCATGCGTGCTAAATAAAGCAAAGAGCCTGTCAGGGCTTTACGAGGCTTAGGTTGGTAAAGAAGTTATCCAGGTAGAGTTCCAAAATACGTTGATTATTGGCTATGATTTGAATCTCTACATTATGTAAGTATTGTAACTCCATGAGGCCTCGGGATTGTTAAAGTCCGTCAGGCACGTCTTACATCATTACTACGGCTCCCGTGGCTTTTAGCGGGCCCGTCGAACACAAATCACGCCCACGTCGCCACCCGTAGAGAGAGGTACGTGTACCCGCAGACTACAGGTGCGAAATGGGACGATTCTGGTCAATGCCCTGTTCTAGGCAGGTATTATCTAGGTATAGAAAAGTGGGGTAGACGGCGGTTACTATAACCTAAAATCCGCCCCGCTTCCTGTTAAGGCAAAAGCTGGACGTAACGGCGAACCCCTAACAGCCATTAGGGCGGAGGTTGGTATCAGTCGACCCCGGCACGCTCCAGCAGCCACCGACGAATCCGGAAAGGCCAAACCGGTGCCCAGGCTTGGACGACTCTTGACTCTTGACGACTTTGCTCGGGCGCAGCGGGAAGAGGTGGCCGCGCCAGCTCAGTACACACTAGTGTACCTATGTAGGAAGCAAGTGTACCCTACTGGTAAAATAGGTAGTGCACCCGTACCTGCTGTGGTGCACAGCGTGAGAGAGATCGAGACCGCTTCGACGTTGTCGTCGTCCAACCTGCTGCATTGCTGCATTACCGCATGGCCATCCCCCCACACCCGGTCCTCTCTGTAACCAGTCACATCCAGGTACCCTCTTCACTATCATTCTACCACTCTACCACTCTACCACTCTACCATTCAATCACTCCCGTTCCTCTCCAAGCTGGCTTGCTATCTTCCCTCACCTAGTATATACTAAACTCGATCGTTTCAAGCCGGCCGCGAAGCCGTTCGCTTCCTTTTCCGTTGCCTTCTCTGCATCGTGCATCTTCTTTTCTTTTCCCTGCTGCCGTCAATCATCACCGGCGCCATCGCCATCACCGCCTCCAACCCAGCCCAGCCCAGCCCAGGCCCAGCCCCTCACACCGACGACAACGGGTGCAACTCGCCCTTACCGAAGCCCTGACCGTAGCATAGCGCAACATCTATTGCCTTATCGCCGCCACATTCTACCATCAACCCGTTGGGCCATTCAGCTGTGTGACCCGCGACGAAAACCACATCCACGACAACCTCGATCGTCCCTCGTCCCGTCTAAACAACATCCCCGTCTCTTCGCCAGACCTGTCGAGCAGTTTTTCTTGTTCCTACTGGTGGTGTCCTCTTCTTTCGCTACAGCATCGGGGTATTCGTCCTCGACAGGACCGCGGCCGAATGACTGTGGCAAACCGGTGACGGCAGCGTCCCAGCTTTGGTTCTCGCTCATTTCACCAGCAGCGCACGACCCCCACCGGCCCAACATGACGAGTCCTCTAGATGGCATCGTCATCGGGCTGCTCTCGTCCTTTGGCTCTGCCGTCATAGTAGCCGTCATCTTCCTCGTCATCTACTTCTTCCGCCACACCGCATCTGGTCGCATCTTCCTTGACCGCATCGGCCGGCCCGGCGAATATGACGATGAGCAGGCGTTTGCAAGAGAAGAGGCCGAGGCCCTGGAGACGATGGATGATATGCAGAGAACTGAATACCTCAGAGCAAAAGGTAACCCTTCTTTCCTATACGGCTAGGCACACGAGACGATTCCTTCAATGCTACGTTGTGTTCCCAGCTGACTAGTTCTCAGCTTTTGTACAAGGAAACCCACCCGAGTCGATCCAGACGGACATTTCATTATCACAATATTTAGCTATTCAGGAAAAGGGCGTATCAGCATGGGAGTTTGAGCCGGAGTTGGAGATCGCCAACTGTTTTGTCGAAGGCAGGACCGAGATTGAATTCTTCGACTCCGAGTGTACAGTCATGAGCAATCTACCTGTGCCAAAACAAAACGAAGTTTATTACTGGGAGGCAAAGATATTTGAAAAGCCTGAAACCACATTATTAAGCATTGGGATGTCTACGAAACCCTACCCGTTATTCAGGCTTCCAGGTATGCGTCTCGTATGTTTCCGTGGCTCTGTTCGCAGCTTAACATTCATTGTCTTCAGGGTACCACAAATATTCTGCTGCCTACACATCTACAGGCGCACGGAGATATAATCAGCCCTTCATGCCATCGCCATACGGGCCTCCGATCATTCAAGGTGATGTTATCGGCGTGGGTTACCGCCCTCGAACTGGTACTATTTTCTTCACACGCAATGGCAGACGGTTAGATGACGTTGTCCACGGTTTGAAATCGCAAAACTTCTTCCCCTCGGTTGGCGCCAACGGTCCCTGCATCGTTCATGTCAATTTTGGACAGGCTGGCTTTGTCTTTATCGAGGCTAACGTGAAGAAATGGGGGCTTGCACCCATGACTGGCAGTTTGGCACCGCCACCACCTTATGGGAGCGAACAGGGTAGTATCCTACTGGAATCCGGCCGTAGGAAGGACGAGACTCCGGGATCACCATCGCAAATCCATTCCTATTCACAATCGTTTCAAACATACACCAACCGAGGCCCTGTACTAGATTCCGGTCATGCGCGAACGCGCAGCGGCAATTACCGAGTGCTTCCACCTACCAGCCCGGGACCGCAGAGAAGTCCTACGGATATTTCTCTAGCACAGTTAGTTCCCACGGACGAGGCAGGCGAAGGGAGTACCAGCGGCCACGGCTTTGCACCCTCCGGAGATCATGTGGTCAACATAGCTGGGCTAAGGATACACGAAGCTTCACATCCGCCACCGGAATATACCAGTCCCGAACATTCTGACGAAGATGGCAGCGGTTCTGAGAGCGATATTGCTCCGCTGATCAGGACTCCAATGCGGAGTCGTGGGGCTTCTGCTGCCGCACTCCGCCCGAATAACCCCCCGATTCCCAGTTACAGTGATGCTGTGCGCCAAGGCGCCGGTAGGGATAGAAGCCGAAGCGATACGAGTGCCATGCAGAGGCGGAGCGGTTATTGAGATTGGCTGGCTTTCCCATCAAAATCACGGTCTGGAGTTTGCGGGCGTAAAAGGATTTGGTATAATCAATGTTGTGAGGGGATTAGGCGCCCTCCAACCAGGGAATCCGCACAAAGTGAATTGTCAGGGTGGGAAATACTGCCAGTCTGTTGTTAGAAATACCCGGCTTGCCAGACACATTGTAGCCATCAACATGAGAGACGGCGTTTCGGATGTTCTTTTGTTGAGATGATTATTCTTAACCGTTTTATAACCAGTCACGGCTGTACTCCTGGTGGTAACAGGTTTACGACGATACTATACATAGATACATTGCATTGGAAGCCCCGGCTTACTGGTGTTGGGGCAAGTGGGTGGTTTATCTAGTAGGCACACGCCTCTCGTGCCATACCTCGATCAAATGCGAAAGAATATATTCCTCTCGTGATTATTTGATAGGCGATTTAGCGGAGTTACAACTTGCTGCGTGAGAAGAGCCTAGTACCTCGTTCTCTAGGGATATTGCTAGAAGACAGAGAGACAGTTGAAGGCGTTGTCGTTTGATTATTGTTGAGACTCATTATCTCGCCCTGGTCTTGTTGGCCTTGATGTAATGTGCTTTCCGATAGCAAGCAACGGGTGTCCACGGTTATCATTAATTAACTATGGACATATGTTATGTTTTTTTCTTTTTTTTTCGTTGTTGTTGTTGAGGGTGCTAAGACATCTTCGTCAGCTCGGTGTATAAACATTGTTACGTGACGACGGACCGGCCTGTAAGTCGTAACATGTCGCGGTGCTTGCTTTCCTACCAACCGGTCGGTGAGTATGTAAACGATTATTCTAGCGTAAAAGAGAGCGATGTGCCTAGAATTATGCTTTCTAAGTTCTGGGCAGCGATTAAAGATATATCACATAACGGTAGACTACCTAAGGGTGTGACATATGAGGTATATATGTAGCTACCAGTTACTCGCAAGGAAACTCTTTAGAACTTAGGCTGTTAGCTTCCTCTATAGCTTCAGTTTGCCCGTCCTGCCATGTTGACTACACGTTTGTTAGTTCAGGGTGTGCTAGCACATAGGCACCTAAACCAATCTTTGACTTGGGCAGCATGCTAGCCACTTCTTAAACATATTTATGCCCAACACAACGCTCTCGTGCTTTTTTTTCTACGATTACGAGTTAATGGCTGTTGTGGTTCTAGACATCTTAAACAACAATTTTCGAAGCGGACGTTCCAAGATATATGACCAAGCGGGAGGCTCAGCGCCTAAGCAACTTGCGTAAATAGTGGTGAGGATTTAGTTCCCTACAGTATAATGGAGATGCTTGCCCAAGCATTGAATACGGCGCCGACTTCAGGTTTGTAAAGAGGTACAAACTGGATTACATAGGTAGTAGGTAGCCTTGACGTTCTACTATGTTTAACAGCACCCAGCGCTTTTTAAGGGTGTCAATAGAATCGTTTACGTTCATATCACACTATAAGTTTCAGTATGTTTTTTTTAAAGCGACAACATTTAATAAGACGTACATAATTTACCCGTGCCTCTATAATATCAATACTACCCCCCTAAGTCTTGTATTCTTACGTAATCTATGACGAGCAGCCTTCGCTCAGCTCCCGATTCTAGAAATACCAATCGACAAACCGCATAATACCCACTAACCGCACCAAATGTCAACCCGTCGATTTGGCGCAATGGTAGCGTACAGACCTCCTAAGTCTGGGGTTGCGGGTTCGAGTCCCGTGATCGATGAGATACGATCGGCTACACACGTTGAAGCGTTCTTTGGGCGAATGGTCTAGGGGTATGATATTCGCTTTGCATTCATTCTAATGCTTGCGAAGGGTCCGGGGTTCAAATCCCCGTTCGTCCATCCTTTTTGAAAACATGGGGGAAATTTTTAGGTTAGCATTGTAGATAAAGTACGCTATATGTACGCTGGATGCAGCTTACGAAACTCTACGAACATTGACCATATGGGTTGCTCATGACATAAAATATACAATCACACACAGGCTTGGAAAAGCTCAGGCGTCACATCTGTCATGTCTTTTAAATCGTGGCTTACTATTTTTTATAGTGCCTAAGGGTATCTCTTAAATCTTCGCAAAATTGTCTTGATAAAGTTATCCATGATCTCTCTGCTGTTCGTCCAACATCACTAAAATGATAGGTATTTAAGTCTAGTACTAAGAGATGAGAGGAGTGCAACGGCCCTTATTTGCCGAGACCGTCCAGTCTAAGTTTCCTAATTTCGTAGACTCGCTCCAGAATCCAGATAATTAAATTGCAAAAATGGTAATTCGTCTTCAAACATGCTGTCGTTCTGTTTCCCGTTGATTTCCCAAAATAGCTACAAAGAAAGAAAGATTTTAAAAAGGGGCATCAGAATCGTGTCGTACGCTGGGAATCATAAGATATGACACGTTATGCCGTTTAATAACGCATAACGCTGGATCCGAAGTCGATTATCGTAAGGTCGTGCCATAGCGGCCATGGGGCCAAATCGTAATTAATACAGTCGAAGGTCCTAGTAGTATGATGAAGATTCCGAACAGAACTTGCACAAAAGGCGGGGGGGCTTCGCGGTGCCGAATCATAAAAACCCGCCTTCGTTCCCAAATACACCGATGCTGCCACGCCATCGACAGCGCTCATCGGGAGTCTGGGTTCCACGAGGCGTATGTGTGTCGTAGTCGCCACTGCCACGATTGCTGCCGGTGCTGGCGTTCGACTGTACAAGGAGCAAACTACTGGTACCGCTCAGTCGTTTCGCAAACTCATTGAAACCAAGATTCCTGACGTCCGAGGTCGAGTGTCGTTTCTCGTGAGATCGCCGCATCGGGACTCCTTCTGGCAGCCTTGAAGAAGAAGATGGCAGCACGTGCAACGGCGGTCCAGGAATGTAGGGCTGGCTATTCGTTCGCTGGGCCGCCGGCCGACTTCGTGAGTGGGACGTGTGCGGCCGTAGAACACTGCTCAGCCCAGCCTCGCTATAGGTCGAGTTGTGGCGGTTCGTGATGAAGCGGAGCGCTTTCGACGAGGCATCCATCTCATCGTGGTCGTCGTGTTGCTCGAAGTCATAGTTATCACTGTCCTCATCTTCGTCATCTTCAACTTCCCCGCCACACTCATCCTCGTCGCTTTCATCATCTTCCCACGTGCTCTTCAAAGGTTCTTGCGCCACCTCCTTTCTCCCAGCGGTTCTTTTGCGATTCTCTGCTTCGCACATCAGTGCCTCGAATCTTGCAAGCGACGTGAGCTTCTCCTCCCCAGCAACCTCTCTATCAGATCCTGGAATACACCGCATTTGAAATGCCCGATCTAAAATGGTCTCACGGGGCGCCATGCGGGGGCTGGAGTCCAGGCTGGGTTGACTAGGGTCCTGGGAAGAGCTAATGCTACCGCGGGCCCTGATCGGAGAGCTCAAGGCAGAAGACCGTCCTTGTGACGCTGTCCATCCTTCTATGAACTGCTCTGGATACTCATCGACGGTCGAGGTGGGAGAAGGTAGATCGGAGTGCTGTAGGTTGGTATAATGTTGCTGCACAAAAGTCATACTACCCGGTATCATGGAGCTCGCGCGAGAAGAAAGGTCACTCTTACGAGAGCGTAAACTGGGGGACCCAGAAGTATATACTGAGTTTTGGTCGCGTGCCGCTGGGAGGGTTCTACCAGATGACTTCGGTTGCAACTTGGACCTCAGCTTTCCCTTCGCGCTAGCAACGGGTCCAGGTCTTTCGACAGTATCTTGCATCGAAGGAAACGGGCTAATGAAGACTGGCGATGTTGGGCTGATTGGGCTCATAGGAACGGACTGCTGGCTCTGTACGAGCGACTGAATATACCTTGCCCAGTCGTCTAAGCCATACCGCGACTCCTCAGTAGCGAGAAACCATAGCTTTGTTGGGCCGGGGTCTTTGTTCGTGATTAACCCGGTAGTCCGGCTCGATCGGCGCTTTCGTAATTTGTCGGTTGCTGGATCGGGGGAGATCTGAATAGTCAAGGTAGGAAGAAGATGGCCTTGCTTCCGGTGAGCAATGCGTTGCACTTGACAATCTGTTATCGACGCAATCGAATACTGAATCATGGGCTCGGAATCCTCCTGTCGTCATGTTAGCAACACAGCGTTGACAGTCAAACCAACATTGCGCACCTTGGACTTGTAGACTGAAAAGTAGAGGGCGTCTGTGGGAGCCCTCTGCTGCGATTTTGAAGACCGACCCCCTACGTCTCTTATTCGAGCAGTCGACAAAACCTGGGAAAGCGTGAGATTTGGCGAATGACCTTCCTTTTCGTGCTGTGGGCCAACAACAACATAACGTGGCTAGAAATAGAGTCAATCAGCATTCCGATCAAGTGAGATGGGTGCGCAATCGGTGACAGTGGTTACCTTCCAGATAGGCTTCCCAATAATCGGGCCCCGATCCGGGGGTACAAGAAGAACACCGTCCATGAGGATTGCGGCTACTTCTGAGTGTGATAGTTACTCGTTATTGCTACGCCGGGAGTAGCGCAAAGCGTTCTTATCTGGCGCTAGGTGTGTAATGATCCGCAAGCAGGAGGCTGAACTCTTTATTTGCTGTCAAAACGTCATATTGACTGAGAAGAGTGGGAGGCAGCGCCAGGCAGGTGACCGGCTTTTGTTAAAGAACAAAAGAATTGGGGGTCACAATGTAAGGGATGGTTTTAAGGGAAAGGGTAGGCAGCTGGTCTTCTCTAAGAGGTTGGCGTCACCTAGAGTTGAGAACTTAATTCGTCCCCAATAATATAGCGTGAAGTAGAAAGAAAGAATGGTCAACCGCCTGTTAGTAAGGAAGCGGTGGTATGAAGAGGGAAAAGGGTGAGATAATAGTGTATTGTAGTAGCAGTAGTAGTACTTTTACAACAATCGCAAGGCTCACTCGTTAGCGGTCCGTTTATCCTTGCAATCACATTATTAAATTAAATTTACTCAGTACTGTTATTGTTCGTCTACCTACTGTAAAGGGCGCAACGGAGAAAAGAGGCCAAAGGGTGTGTAGTGTATTGAAGGAGTCGATGTAACTCCTGAAAGCACCATCTGGTCATGATCAAATGTGGGAACGACGCCGTGAAATAAATGTACTTGGCTTCGTAGCTAGACCTAGAATAGAATAAGTCCAAGGGGTTCTAAAAGCAGCTTGACTATACTCGGATATAGACAAGGATTGCTCTAAACTCAAAGTAGAGCATTTCCGATGACTTGTCTTAAGCTTATGTGTACAGTACAGTGTATTGGCCAACCTTGGGGTCCGGCAGCTGGAGCCTCTGGGAACCTCGAGCCAGGTTCAGGGGTATTCGGGGGCCTACACCAACATACTGTACAAGTACACTCCACAACTCCTTTTCGCAGCCAAACAGGACGTTCAAGACTTGTGACCAACCCTCCTGGGTGACGTGCTTGCAACCTACCTCATACCGGGCAAGCCGGGAAATGTTGAAGTGTCGCCTTGGCCCCAACAAATCTTTCGAGTGCGATGCAACATAGCGGTACGCGATAGCCCGCGAACTGCTTTGGAACTCGACAGTTAGGACAAGCTAGATAGTATCGATGCTTGTTCTAGCTCCTCAAGACTCTTAAGGCGATACTTGCCATCCGGGAGAGGAAAAAAAAACCGAAACCGAACGCCTTGGCCAACAGCTAAGAACTACTAGGAAACATCTAGCCCGTCTAGTACATACTTGTAGTATGTATAGTTTGTTTTTGATTGCGCTATAACTTGATATTCCAAAGGTAGATAGTAAAGTAATCTATAAATACTAGACCCAATAGCTTCCCCAAAGTGAATATGCTACCATAGTACTGCGTTGACACATAGCCTGCAGTAGTGTCGCGCCAATGCTATAGAAACGGGTGATCGTGAGAGGAGGATGCGTGTGGCTATAGCCTATAGGTAGTCAAACGACTGAGCGTGCTGACATGTTAGGCAGTAAAAAAACAATAAGCAGCAAACAGTAGGGATGACGGGAGAATTACCGCCAGCTCAACCATCAAGTAGGTCGCAGGTAATGCGACCATTCCTTCGAAATTGATAGAATGTCACCCCAAGCGCTCTCTGTTCAAAAGCAATGGAGATGGTAGTGTGATCATGTTTTGAATCTACGCCCTCATCTCGGCAATGCTTGTGCTCTGACCTCCGTCTTTATACTATATTCTAAGCTAGACTAACCTGGTGCATTTATTTCGGAAAGGAAAAGGCGATGGATGATGCGCGCACGCCGTTTTCGCTAGTCGTTACCGATGTGTATAGTCTGTCTACAAGTCGAATGCTCGTTGGCCCTTCGCAATCGCCGTGTCCATCTGTAAGCCCGCGTGATGTAGGTATACTACATGTGGATATAGGTGTTACTGCCCTGTGTTCTAGAAGTCCCAAGATCTGGAATCCCTGGCACTAAGGGTTGACCGCCATGACCGCAGTAGAACCTTAATTATCAATGACAGCTCCAATCGAGGGAAATCTGCTTCTGAAACGTAGCCACTTACTCTACTTAAGTACACTATCCTACTGTACTGTTCTGAACTGTACGGGGTCTCGCACTGTAAAATAATGAAAAGGGAAAGGGGAGAGATATGCGGATCAAAGCCGGGATCAAGGTTCCCACATCCACGCAGTGGTGGCGGATGGACCGCTTAGCCAATCTCTGCGCAGCCAATGTCACAGACTCATACTGTACACTATCCACAGTAGTGTACCTAGACCAGGAACTATTCTAGATCTAGGCACGATATTGATCTCGCGTGGATAGCTCGTGGCACCATTTTGGGGCTGATTGTCTTGACTAAGAAAAAGGCAAGTAGCAGCATGTTTCCGACCAACTACTTATACATAGATAACGGAGTCGTATGGATAC